CCCCCCTCAGGGTCAGTGAGGCTGGAGTGTGAATGTTGCATGTTACTCATTCATTACCAAGCGGAAAGTCTGTGCGCCATAATATGAGCTGACAACTGAGTCATAGTGTGTGTGTGTGAGTGTGTGTATCGTACATGTGTGTATGTTCACTATAGAGAGCAGGTGAACTTGATCACCCTTTAATCCTATAAGCATTATAATGGCCTATAAGAATGGCGGTGAAGACGCTTGATTGCTATTGTCATTTGAGACCAAGAAGGTCCACAATACCTGTCCGTTAGCATTCTGAATGGCCAGAACTGAAGAAAGATGTTTTGTGTCCTCAAAACGGTGTAGTTACAGTTTCCACCAGCAGGGGCGAACTTGTTTGAGACAATATGAAGTATTGTTTCATATTACAACACAAAGGATCAGATACACATCTCAGTATATCATTACATGTGCTGAGTGAAGATAATGTGCTTTCCTGCAATCAGGAGCATTCAGGAAGCCTCGAGAGGTCCGGCCGAGCTGTAGAAACCGAGCACAGGAAGTGAGTGATTGATGAAGTGCGGTTTAACGTGGAGAGAGTCAAAACACTCATTCGCCACGGCACACTTCCTGCACTTCAGAGAACTGTGTGGGCCGCTCCGAAAAGACAGGAAAGCTGAGTGGACAACTTTTGAAGCTTTATCACCCATGTTAGTGAGAAGTGCCTAAGCAAGACGAAGCTAAAGCAATCGTTCTCCTCTCTGAAGATCAGATTGGATGGAGCAGCTTTGGTGTAATGGAATGACACTGAGTCAGTGGAATCTCGCAGAGATCAGCGCGCTTTCGCAGCTCATGGTGGTCTGTAGATCACAGGCGCTTGTGTAGCTCAGCAAAGACAGGTGCTGCTAGCGATAGCTCAGACTCTGCATCTGCTGCTGACAGGGAAACTCTTCCGCTCTGCAGTAAACCTGCAGCAGGTTCGGAGGCCGGCCGACTCATTGCGCTCCGCTAGCAGGATATGAGTAGGGCAGGAAGTCGTAATCCTAGATCACAAAGTTGCCCGAGTAGAATCTGAACTGTGAACTCAACAGTGCTGACAGACAGAGGGTTAAATGACAAATGGAGGGGTAACAGAGTCAGTGAGGGACATGAATAGAACGGTTAAGGTAGTGGTGTGTTTAACCATTTGGTAACTAAACTTTCATAATTATTTACTCTACATCTACTATTATAGCATAAAGTCAAATATGGACAATTGTTTGTAATTGGGTATTTCTTAACTACAGGTATGTTTATACTTTTTTTTTCTTTTTGTCAAATAGTCTTGTAAACTTTTCATTATAAAACGGATAGTTCCGGTTCTTCATTCTGATTGGTTGAGCCACGTTCAAAGCTGTTGTAAATTACTCTACAAACATACACCTCTTTTACTGCGTCCCAAATGACGCACTATGCACTTATACACTATCTTCTTATGCACTATGTACTCAACCATGTAGTGTATGAATCATATAAGGTTATTTTGTCATTAATAATCGGAGTCTGATAGCCCCGCCCCCTTTGCGACATAATTAAAGCTGCTACTGTTGAGTGCATGAAGTGTTCAACATTCCACACTTCATTTTTTCGGTTATTTAAGTGCATCATCCGGGTATTTAAAGTGCACTTTTTCTTTTTGGCATTTTCAGTGTGAACGCAATATTTATACTCAGTGTTGGGGGTAATACATTACAAGTAACGCAAGTTACGTAATCAGATTACTTTTTTCAAGTAACTAGTAAAGTAACGCATTACTTTTTAATTTACAAGAATAATGCAACTCAGAATATGACGCAAACCTGCAATAATTAAATGTTAAACAACACAAATATCCTTTATGTATTTAATCCCATTCTATTAAGCAATGTCTTTGCTTCTGACCTTCGATGATCCAGTTCAACCATATTAATAAGCACAAATTACTCTATTTGTGTGTTTTTTTTATTGCTGAAGAGTGTTTGAAATGTCTTCTTCTGCATTCTACTGTACGGACGTAAATTTACTTTCGCTTCAGCCTGAGGCGTATTAATTTCACTTTTGGTGTGAAAAGGCTTTTATATTTGCCAAAAATATAACTTTTTTATTTTAAAAACAAACAAGCAAGCCCTGTCCAGATTTAAAAAGTAATGCAAAAGTAACGTAACGCATTACTTTCCATAAAAAGTAACTAAGTAACGTAATTATTACTTTTTTATGGAGTAACGCAATATTGTAATGCATTACTTTTAAAAGTAACTTTCCCCAACACTGTTTATACTACAAAACGTCATAGAATAGTGCATAAGTACGTGATTTGGGACGCATCTTTTGTTTCTGCGTCTGTGTGTTGCTTGGCAACCACTTTGTTGTAACCACAGCCGTTTCTGAGGAACTACATTGTTTGGCGGAAGAATAATGTTTTTATTAATATCATTACATATTATTTGCTTTGTTTTATTTTGTGAAACTTTGCTACATATATGGAATAACCGTTTTATAAAAGCAATAAGCCTCCGCTACGCATAGTGCCTAACAATGCCCCTTAGCTGTTATAAATTCACTGTAAACCACGGCTTCTTGGGGCTTATTGCTTTACGAAGCCCTCATCATTTGTGATATTTTCCAAATGACTTTAATGCATACATTTATTTTTACCTTTGTACTGATCCAAAAATGAAAACTCATTATAAAAATATTTATTTTAATTTAAAAAAACTATAGATAAATGTAAACAGAGGGAAATAGATATCAATCATTTTAATTGATTTTAATTATGTGAAAATTATTTATATACAGTAAGTTTAAGGTTGTTTTTTTTTAACTCATCAAGGCTGCATTTATAACCATTTTTTAATTTAAATATATCTTAAAATGTAATTTTTTCCTGTGATGTCAAAGATGAATTTTCAGCAGATGAACTCCAGTCTTCAGTATCACATGATCCTTCAAAATCATTCTAATGTGCTGATTTGCTGTTTAAGAAACATTTATTATGATAGAAAATTCAAAACAACATTTATTTGAAAAAGAAAGGTTTTGTATATTTAAAAAAGTTTTTGCTACCACTTTTGATCAATTTTATGCTACCTTACTGAATAAAAGTTTTTTTTTCTTAATAATAATAATAATAATAATAAATCTTACTGACCCCAAACTTGAATGGTAGTGTGCATTTTTGTGCAAATTGTAACCCTGAGCTGTGACGTCATTTCCTTTTTTTTAAAGTGTAAAAACACCGATTATAATTGTGATATACAACTGATATTTATTTTGAAGAAAAATCCAGATAAATACCACTTTTTTCACTTGCATATGCATCATCTCCAATCAAGCTGTAATTAGTCATTATGCAAAAATAGTTTGTTTTGTGGATACATGAAAATCCAGCTTGGAAATTAGCCATAGCAAAACAAAGTCTGTCTTTTTAATCCAGAAATAATTTCCGTCACCATCATTTCCACCACAGTCAATGCTGAAACAAACCATCGTTGTTTATAATGGTGAATAGAGAGTGAAAAAAAAAGACTTAGTCTGTGATCATATATTTGCACTGTTAATAGACAATAAGGCCATTCACACAGAATGCAAGGTCTACAGATGTGTTTTTTAAAAGCTGAACTACTTTTAACTTGAGCTCCGCATTTTTATAATAATGTGTTACATGCAAGACATTGCAAAATGCGCCAATGCAGTGGTCAATCACGTCTAGACCTTACTCACATAGAAAAACAATAAAAAAGTAACGCAGTGTAATAAAAAAGCACTCTGTGTGAATGGCATCTATAATAGTGTCAAAAGCGTATTCTAAGGGAGTTTATTTTCTGAAATCCATAGCATGGATAATAAAGAAACCATATAACTTTTCTTTAAGCAAAGACATTTCTGGGTCATAAATGTATTTAAAAAATCATGTAAAGATTTAAGTTATGCATTGCTGCTAAGCACCTTCACAGATCCAGCTTCAGAACAGGATGCCACGTCTTTAACGAGCTTATTACAGCCAGTGATCTGAATGACGACCGTATGCTAAGCTCATTTAACCAGTGACATTAACTACCTTCATCCTTCGCGTCAGCCAGAAAACAGGCCTCGCTAAACACTCTCACTCAGCCAATCGGCTGCTGCTGCTGATGTATTGCATCGTGGCAGCGTGTGCAGAAGCGTTCATAATTACTTCAGGAGTTAATTAATTTACATGAGGGCCAGTCTAGTGGGTGGAGGTGGCGCTCAGCCTGTCACGGCACTGAGACGAATTCTAGCAACTGCGGCGTGCTGGTAATGAGCTCTCTGCTATGGAGAGATAAGCTGGTTACAATTCCCCCAATTAAACACTGGAAGAGACACACTCAGATGCACGGAGGGTCCAGGCTGTCGCTCCAGCACCTTGTGTGCAATCTCACAGGCTGCTGGTGTCCTTTGGCCCCTTCTGAGGGCGTACAGGGCACATGGGCCACTGCTAGCGGCAGACCCGCACGTCTCTGATCACCTCATTAACTGTGTTAGCATGCACCTTAGGCACAGATTCCAAACGGACTGCAGCTTTTAGCCTGTTGGTTGCGGTGGATGCACCCTGTCATTGCTGATGATGTCACAACCGAGCGGGTATTTATAGTCATGACTTGGAGTTAGGATGAGTCACTGGCAGAAGAGACGGCACGTGTTAGCGGACACAAAGGATAAACTGCTTCTTTGAGTTTACTTGTGGATTTGCTCTTGCTTTATTGTGGATTAGGTTTAACCCAGAATGCTTTAACTTGATATGGAAATGAGATCTTCATTCAGTAGTTTCAAGTATTGACACAAATGACATTGGAATGACATTATATTGACAACATTTTACACTTTAAGAACTTTAGAGATGTGCGAATGGTAATCATTTTAGGCTAATAGAATATTGAATTCATTGTATTTAATCAATGACATTGAATAGGTTCAAAACAATCTACCGCATTTACCTAATTTGACATTATTGCAATTTTATTCTGTATTCAGAAATCTGAAGACATATCAATGCCCTAGTGAAAAATAAATATACTGAAATGTATTTGAAATAAAATTTATTTCATGCCAGGTATACTACAAATACACTATTTTTGTACGTAATGAAAATACCCTGCAATTTTGCTTTTGGTATACTAAGCTGGTATATTTAAAGTCTGATAAATTGGAAAAACTAATTTTGTACTTAATGCACTTTAATTGTGCGGAAGTAAGCTGAAGACCAACTTAAGATATATACCGAAGTATATAATTGTCAGTTATTTTAAATTGCAATAATATGTCATATTTACTGTATTTGTGAAAAAGTAAATTCAGCCTTGGTCAGCATAAATGACTTCTTTCAAAAACATTTAAAAAAAAATAAATAAATAAAAATCTAACCAATCCCAATTTTTTTGAACAGCAGTTTATGTAAATATTTTTATCTTTTAGACTCTAGAGAAGGCTTATTTGAGAGCCTTTTTTTTCAGGAGAAACATCTGAGAAGGAAATTCTCCTTTGGGTATAGGACTCAGCACAGCACAGTTAGAGACATTAATAAGACCTCTCATTTGAGATTACTTCAGCCTTTTTCTCAGGAGACACATCTAAGCAGGAGACCTTTCTCCCCATTTGATGGATTTCTGCCTGCAGGAGAAACAACAGAGATATAAAGAGATCTCATTTGAGCTTTTTCTCTCTAACGAGTTGGACTTTTAAAAAAATCTTTTCTGTCTATTGTATCATGTTCCCAGTTGTAGCACTAGATTAACGAGTATTTATAACCCAGACAAGTGCTGGATTTGCTGTCTAGCCACTCAGTGGGACACATTCACATGTGGACACACAGCTGCAGCAGTGCTGATATAGCTGGCCTCTTCTCTGCATGTGATTCAGAGCCATGGTGAAAATGTTAAGGCTGATTAAACCGTCTAGATTATGTTTCATTGTCACGACACGTGAAACACAACTCTTCAACCACACACAGCTTATGTTTTCATAACTATATTGCAGACATGCTCAAATTCCAGTGGGGTTTTGGCTGGTATTAATTATTTATTGAAATTCAACAGGTTACATGCTTAGTCCTTTCATTCGACAGCTCTTAATTTAGACAAAACTGCACCGGGAGGTTCATGGACGTGCACAATGATGCCTCGGGATGGTCATTTGTACATTTGGCATCAAACAGATCGCATTTCAGTGATTTTGGAAAGCCTGTGAATTAACCTTCAAATCATTGCAATATGTTATTCCAAAATAACCTTATAGATTCAACATGTGTTTGTAGGAGGAACCTCTGTCTGCATCAGTCTAGGCCCTTTAACTTCAGCACTTGGTTATAAAATATAGGCGGAGAGACGCATAAATGGAACTTTGGACACACAGCTGCAGCAGTGCTGATATAGCTGGCCTCTTCTCTGCATGTGATTCAAAGCCATGGTGAAAATGTTCGGGTTGATTAAACAGTCTAGATTAATTTTCACTGTCACAATGCGTGAAACACAACTCTGCAGCTACACACAGCTTATGTTTTCATAACTATATTGCAGACATGCTCAAATTCCAGTGGGGTTTTGGCTGGTATTAATTATTTATTGAAATTCAACAGGTTACATGCTTAGTCCTTTCATGCGACAGCTTTTAATTTAGACAAAACTGCACAGGGAGGTTCATGGACGTGCACAATGATGCCTCGGGATGGTCATTTGTACATTTGGCATCAAACAGATCGCATTTCAGTGATTTTGGAAGGCCTGTGAATTAACCTTCATATCACTGCAATATGTTATTCCAAAATAACCTTATAGATTCAACATGTGTTTGTAGGAGGAACCTCTGTCTGCATCAGTCTAGGCCCTTTAACTTCAGCACTTGGTTATAAAATATAGGCGGAGAGACGCATAAATGGAACTTTGCTGGCAGCGTGTTACACAGCACACCAGCTGCCTGTTGGACCTTGTCACCATTGCCATAAATTAACTATTGTGTTTTCCCGTTTCCATGATTGCTCGCATGAGGCAGCCTAGAGGTTCAGTAGCCTATAAGGAAACACAGCTGGCCTGTTTTATGCCTGATTCGCACCTGGGCTCATTAAACTGACATTCTGCATCCCAATACAGTCACACTAAGCTTTGAGCATGTAAAATTACACTGAAACGAATATATATGATTGATTGTCATTTACTTTTGTCTGTTTTTGCTCCACCAATGAAAATGGTTCTAAATGAAGCCAAAGAAGGATTAACAATGTTTTGTTCCTGTAAGAACTAATATTTTTGAATGAATCAGTTGAGTAAATGATTCAACAACTCTATCGCATATATGACAGTTACTTGTTTTGAACCTGAATATGTGAATCAAAAAATCACTGAATCAGTTTTTACGAATGAACTGAATGAATTGAAAAATGAAATGATAGCCATCTATTGCCATGCACTTAAAGACATATAGAAGGCCAAAAATGCTTTGGTAGATCATAATTATGCCATAAAAGGTATAAATTACATAAAACGTGAAATTATAAGATACTAAGTCATAATTATCAGATAACAGTTGAAATTGTCATAATTAGAAGATTAAAAGTCAAAATTATGACATAAGAATAAGTCAATTATCAGGTAAGCTACAATTATGCGATACTAAGTCAATTATGAGATAAAAAGTCAAAACTCTGACATACTAAATCATAATTATGCAATAACAAGAAATTGAAATTATGACAAAATGTTGAAATTTTTGTCATAAATATATTTTTTGAAGTGATTGTGGCAGCATAAATATATTTTTTTTAACTCAATCTCGACTTTGTATCTCATAATTAAAATTTGGAATGTCAAAATTTGGGCTTTTTATCTTGTAACATAGTATTTCATAATTTTAACATTTTTCAACATTTATGTCATAGTTTTGATTGACCAAAGTGTGATTTTATTTTTATTTTTTTTGTGGCAGAAATAAAATTTCATAATGGTGTAACTTGTAAGAGTACATATGTTATTTACATTATCATCTGTCCATATTTACAACAATATGTTGGCAAAACTATACGTGCATTATGCACAAGAATGATTGAACACACAAGTGCCATTAGGAGACAGGATGATACATCTTCAATTTCTCGTCACTTTAAGTCTGCCAACCACTCTTTGTCTGACATGAAGTTCCTGGGCATCGAGAGGATTCTACCTCATAGAAGAGGCGGAGATAGAGATAAGAAGTTGTTGCAAAGGGAGGCTTTCTGGATCTTTGAACTTAAATCTTTATTTCCTGAGGGTATGAATGAAGAACTAGAACTCTCTTGTTTTTTGTAAAAATTGGTATTGTCGTTACTGCTTTATCTTCTCTCTCTCCTGCTGTGTTTGTTGTATTTGTAATGTTTGGTCATTCTTTGAAGTTGTATACTTGTACATTTCTGCTATAAATGTGAATGATCAAACTTTCAAACAAAATTCTGCTTGTGATTAATTGAGGTTTACCTGAGATAATTGAATTCAGCTGATTGTCTATAATTGTTGACCTACTTAAAAAGAGTGACTGTTGTTTGTTAAGTGAGCACTGAATATAGCAATGTGCTGAAACGTTTGCTTGCTTGCTCGTGTCCATTGTTTTCATTCACATGCACTTTGCACTTTTGCACTATGCAATTTATAAAAATTAAAAAGATGTTTTTGTAGACTTTTTAGTCTTGAGTGGATCAGTGTGCGGTTAGCCACCCTCTTGCTCATTTTCAAATATCCTACTGGCTCTACGCACCTGCAGTACAAGGAACTATTTTATTTTTATTTTTTTGGAGCGCTACAATTTTCTCGAGTTTTATAATGGTGTAACCTGAAAGTGTTGCTGAACAATTTGTACCACTAACACACAGCTGCTGTATAATCAACTACAAATGATAAATGACACATTAATCCAAAATGTAAAAATGTGCTGCCTACTCCACTTTTTTGCAAACCTGCAGCTTTGACGTTTATGTTTTTTATATTGAGCCGAGAGGTTGCTCTATGACATTTACGTCCTCTATTGGTCAAATAATTTCACTATTTAAATTCACAGGTCACAATTCGCCAAACTTGACCACAAACCTTCACATGTTCTTGTGTTTCCGTTCTTCCTCGTATGAATGGAAGTGAATGGAGTATGCAGCTAGACTGTGACCCTCTCTCACCCTGTTGCTCAACAACCACACTGTGCTCCATTTTCTAGCACTGTCACTTCACGTTTCATTTCCTGGACACTTTTATCCCATTCCAACGCCTTTATTTGCAGTTATTTTGATGTATAAAAGCTTGAGGCACATAATGTGCGTCTGTCCTCACTTTCTTCCCAATGTGTTATGACATGAAGTCCTAATCAATTTCCGGTCTATAGCTTCCTAATCCAACACACACTCTTTTATATTCCACACAAAGGACGTCACAACAACCCTTTTCAACAAACACACAAAATATCAGACATGACTCTGATCAATCAGTGTTAGCTGACATCCACAGAGAAACACTGGAAACCAAATCACTACCGATCACCTCAGTTTACATTTACCAGAGGACAGTTTTATTGCTCAGAAGTTGCTCTTTCATAGCTCTGGAGACTTAATGAAGTTCTCACATATAATATTAACTTTATCTCAGATGTTTCTACTAAAATTCCTTAAGAAAATAACGCTCCTTAAAGAAGAAAATGAAATTCCTTAAGAAATAAAGATAAACACAAAATTGACTTTTGATCGCAAAATTTGGTATCTGAGCATAGTTTGAGGTGTTTTTCTTCGAGATCTTGTCTGAAATTCTAGAGGAGAAATGACATTAAAATATATTTTAGTTGACCAAGAATGCTTGTTGGTACATTCGGCTGTACACTTTAACCATTTTTCAAAGAAAATAGAAGTAATTATGAAATTACATTTAAAGATGTGTTTAAATCCAGTGTTGGGGAAAGTTACTTGTAAAAGTAATGCATTGCAATATTGTGTTACTTTATAAAAAAGGCTACTTATTGCATTACGTGGTTAATTTTTATGGAAAGTAATGCATTACAGTATGTTACTTTTGTGTTACTTTTTGTCACCTGAGCTGGGATTGCTTATTTATTTTTAATTAAAAAAAGTAACTCTGATATTTTTTTTGCACATTTAAAAGTAATGCATTACTTTACTTAAAGTAATCTGATTACATAACTTGCGTTACTTATAATGCCGTTTAAATCCTTAATTGGGGGAAAAAATCACTTTTACGTTTAGCTAATTGCATTTAATATAAATTTAAACTACAATACATTTTCATTTAATTGCAATTAACATGCAGTTTAGTGTCAGAAAACATTACATTCAGTTCATACTCAAGTATATTTTTTAAAGTATATAATTTCTGTAATAAGTACTTCTTAAAAAAGTATGATAAAATATACTTTTTTGACAAAAGGACATGTGGATTAATTTTACAAGCTGGAAACATAAAATAAACTAGCTTAACTTTACTGTCAATGTAATCTTATTGCTGAATTGTATACGCAAAAAAAAAATGTTTTTCTAAATGAAATGTTGTGTCAGGTTGTTGCTCTTAACATTTGCTCCTTAAATGTTGATCTTGACATTTGTCATCTGTCCCTATCAGCAAATATGTGTAAAAAAAAAAAAAGCCCTCATTGCAGTGTAAAGATAGCACACCTGAAGCGAAAATTATCTACTATATGTACAAATAAATAGCAGAAAATTGCACACTGATAAACCCACTGCACTCAAACCTCAAGAGCGTACATCCCTGAGCTCCTCCATCAACATTACACACACCCACAGGAGTGATCTAAATCTTTTGTGTGTGCAGTTCGGTCCCCACTGCAGCAGCTCTGCGTCAGATACCAAATCACATCTGAATACTCGGAGGCATTATCTAAAGTACTTTTCGATAACAATGGGTGTAAATCATTTCTCATCATGTAAATGTTGTCGTGGGTTGTTAGAGGTATTAAACCAGCATGAGAGAAGTCATTTGAGTGATTGTACTGGATGCTAAGCTTCTTTTCAGTATGAGAGAAAAAAAAATTGTTTATGAGTATAGCCAGAGCCATGGTGTGCTTACATTTGGCCTGTTCTCAGATATGGCCGTTGTTTCCCTCTTGGCGAAGTGATAAATGTAAATCTGTCAAAAATCTTATTGTGTTTTGCTCCATTTGGGCCAAAGGCTGTATTCAAGTTTGCCGGCCGCTCCGATGTCAAGCCCACCGGCTGCAGATCCCACAAACCCGCCAGCCGTTCAGCACTCAGGCCCGCCGGTTGTGGATCATACAAGCCCGCTGGCCGCTGCTCACTCAAGTTCGCAGGCCGCTCCGATGTCAAGCCCGCCGACTGCGGCTCCCACAAGCCCGCCGGCCGTTCAGCACTCAGGCCCGCCGGTTGTGGATCATACAAGCCCGCTGGCCGCTGCTCACTCAAGTTCGCAGGCCGCTCCGATGTCAAGCCCGCCGACTGCGGCTCCCACAAGCCCGCCGGCCGTTCAGCACTCAGGCCCGCCGGTTGTGGATCATACAAGCCCGCTGGCCGCTGCTCACTCAAGTTCGCAGGCCGCTCCGATGTCAAGCCCGCCGACTGCGGCTCCCACAAGCCCGCCGGCCGTTCAGCACTCAGGCCCGCCGGTTGTGGATCATACAAGCCCGCTGGCCGCTGCTCACTCAAGTTCGCAGGCCGCTCCGATGTCAAGCCCGCCGACTGCGGCTCCCACAAGCCCGCCGGCCGTTCAGCACTCAGGTCCGCTGGCCGCTCCAAGGTTGAGTCCGCCAGCCGTTCAGCACTCAAGTTGCCGGCCTCTCCGCTGTCAAGCCCGCCGGTCATCTCCCTCTCCTCAGCCCAAAAGAGGAGATTGCGGAGGAAGAGACTGTCGGCTCCAGCCCCAGAGCTCGCTCCAGTGTCGGCTCCTCAAAAGCGCCTTGCTGTGCCTGCTTCTTTCGAGAACCCTCCAGTGCCAGCTCCTCGTAAGCGCTTCCCAGTCCCTGAATCTAGCCCAGTGAGGGCTCCTGTTCCCGAGTTTAGCCCACGGAGGGCTCATGTTCCTATGTCTGGCCCACGGAGGGCCTCGGAGCCCGTAATCGTCCCCAAGTATTTTTTGGGGGGTGGGGGTAGTAGGGCTCCAGCCTTAGAGGCCGGGGTGGGGGCTGGGGCCGCAGCCTCGGAGGTTGCTCCGCCATGGCCTTCTGAACTGCCTGATCCGCCATGGCCTCCCGAGCTCCCTGATCTGCCATGGCACCTTGAACTCCCAGATCTGCCCTGGAGGCTCTCCTTGTCTCGGCGCAGTTCCAGTCCTGCACCAGCCTCCAGGGCGCCCACCCCCCCAAATTTGTTAGTTTTATGTACAAATTTGAGAAAATACAGTGCAGAATCATCACAATACTTTCTCCAGAATAGATCTGAATGACTGCGTTATGTTCATAGTACTTTTTTGTACTTTCATTTTATGCTTGGTATTTACATTTATGTGATTTTGAATGCTGGCAGACTGCTGACACCTGCAAAATGAATTCTTTTTACACAAGAACCATGAGATGGTGTTTATCTGTGTGTGTGGCATCCTGACAGCTAGAGTCCAAAGTAAGAAGAAAGAGAGCTGTGTAGGAGTTGGAACTGGTGCATTCTGGGACATACCATCCACATGTTCCCTTGTTACTGTCAGAGAACGTGTCATCCTAGGTGTCTCACCCGAAATGACCTCTCAGCTGACTCCACAGCCTACAGCGTAACAACACAGACTGTGAATCCATTAGAGCTGCCAATATTGATAGGCTGCATTGACAGATGAGCATGTGAGAAGGAGCGTTGGGTGCCAGAATCTGTTGAAGTGACACACTACAGCTCGTCTGTTACATTTACATTCAGCACTTACACACCAACGTCATTAAAAATGTTCTGCTCTTCTTCTAAAAGAATGTTCTAGGATTGATATAATCATATTAAGCTCTGTAGAGGATGTAGGTAGAAAATCTTTTTTAACTTGGCATCATTACCAGACTTTACTTTTAAAGTTGGCAGTTTCAACAAGCATGACTATATATTTGCATATAGGTTATGTTTCTGAAATATTTAGTTTTAATATATTTGGGTTGAGGAAAAAATAATATTAATAATCACACTAATTTTATGCTATTGTTATTCTGTTTTGTCTGCTACAGCATGCAGCAGATTCTATGTCTATTGTTATAAATCTAGCATCTTTTGTCTTGTAGAAATGTCAAAAGTAATAAATTAGAGGTTTACTGAAATACAATGCATAAAAAAACATTAAAATCAGTAAAATGCGAAAAACGTTCAAAACTTTTTTTTTCACCAAAGCTGCATTTATTCAATAAAAAATACAGTAAAAACAGTCATATTGTGAAATATTATTACAATTTAAAATGACTGTTTTCTATTAAAATATATTTTAAAATGTAATTTATTTCTGTGATCAAAGCTGAATTTTCAGCATCAGACTACTCCAGTCGTGTCACATGATCCTTCAGAAATCATTCTAATTTGCTGATTTCTGCTCAAGAAACATTTCTTGTTATTATATTATTGTTGAAAACAGTTGTGCTGTTTAATATTTCCTTTGGAAACAGTGATACATTTTCTCAGTATTCTAACATTTTAAGTATCTTTACTGTCACTTTTGATTAATTTAATGCATGCTTGCTTAACATATAAGAAAATCTTACTGACCACAAACTTTTGAACGATAGTGTAAATAATATTCTAAAACTAATACAACAAACTGTAAATATGAAAACTAAATGGTATTTTGTGTAAGCATCTATCGCTACACAAGTGGCACAGTGTATAAAACATGGTAAAGTGCACTATTTAGATGCATTTCTTTCTAAAGAACCACTAATAACTTAATGTTATTTAAATCAAGTTATCTTATGATGTAAATGAGTGTAAATTTTGAGAAATTAAAAATATTAAACTGGCCTCTGGAATGAAGACCCAAAACAGTTGCTCTCTCTTTCTAGTTTCTTATGAAAATAAACAATCAGTTCCATTTGATTTGAAGTGTTTTTTTTTCTTTTCTTTAAAACCAATGCTGTTTACATTCTGAGGTCTTGAAGTATAATGTTTCCACTTGAGTCTCCATTAGCTGCTCTGCTCAATTTAGAAGTGCGCTCACTGGGTAATCATCATTGCACAGAGACGTTTGAAGTGATGGCGACCCCCAGTCTGATCTTCTGGGCCAGCCGGAGCATTGATCTCTGTGCATGCTTGGACCATTGACTGCCAGCAAGTTTGTTAATGGGACATATCACACAGCCAGGGACAGGCGGCCCGAGACAGCTGTCTCATCCGTCTTCTACACTGTTCCAGTACACATCACTGACGTCGGGTCTCCTTTTCCCAGGACACATGAGGGAACAGCTTGTTAGAGCGGTGTGTGAGACAATCTGCTGTGCGGTGGAAAGTGAGAGGGTCAAAGGGTCAAGACCTTGTTGCTGACCAGCAAGTGAATGATGAGCTTCACTCCGCACAGTTGGACTCTCAGCATGTTTCATCTCTTATCTTTTGCACTTTCTCTGATGCATTCATTTTTAAGGACCAGGTGGTGGCCAGAAATACCGTCCATCTTTCCTGAGTCTGACTTTGGCATTTACATTTGCCACTGGACACTCAAGGTTACAGTCTTTTCACATAATGCTGTTGTTTTGCTATTATTAGCCATAAACTATGAAGAATGCAAAAGAAGCAACTGGATCCCAAGAGAAAACATAACTCTTGGAACATTTTGGTGTTTGCTGGTGAATTTGTACAAATTTGTATGAAAAGCTATATAATTCTATAAGGTCCCCACCTTAAATCAACAACAATTCATATAAATTTGCCAGAAATTTGACAAAACATGAAATATTTAATGAATTACTATGAGAGTTTGTTGAAAATGCAAGTCACAAGCACAATGGTCAATTTATTGAATATACTCAATGCTTAAAATGTGTTTAAAACATATATGTTTGCCATTAATATATGCTAATTAGTCTCAACACTTTAAATTTTCATTGGCTTTACTTCATGAGTATTTAATTAGTATCCCCCCCCCCAATATCTAAAAATGCATAAAAGAATATATATATATATATACTCTTGAATCAATACTACACATATATTAATATTAATATGACAATTAATGTTGTAAATTGTAAATTTCACAAATAATTACAAAGAAATGACAAGTAACACACTATTAACTATGACTTTTGCCTCAATAAGCTCCTACTTTGCTGCTTATTAATAGTTAGCAAGGTAATTATTAGGTTTAGGTATAGGGTAGGATTAAGGGATCTAAAACATGGTCATGTAGAATAAGGCATTAATATGAGCTTTAGAAGTACTAATAAATGGTCAATATGTTAGTAATCTGCACACTAATAAGCAGCTATGGTAATAGCAAAAGAATTGATCCATAAAATAAAGTGTTACAGTATTTTCTTGTATACTCCAATAATCTTTGTTTTATTTACAGTGTGGATTCTTTTTTTTTTTTACAATGTAAGTGTGTTTTGTTTAATTGCACTGGAAGAATCTTTCACTTGTTGTTAACCTGATTATATGTGAAACTGAAAAATGTGAAAAATGTGCCAGTGGAGAAGATATATTCTCTGAAAATAAGTCTTAATATCCTAATATCAATGCTGCTTCTCAAGCAAATTTACTTTGTTTCTAGGATTTTAAGATACTTAACTGGAAATTAAGAAAAAAAGTCATTAAAGGAATAGTTCAGGAATAATTTACCCTCAGGCCATCCAATATGCAGATGAGTTTGCTTCTTCATTGGAACAGGAGAAATTCAGCATTACATCACTTGCTCACCAATGGATCCTCTGCAGTGAATGGGTGCCGTCAGAATGAGAGTCCAGACAGCTGATAAAAACATCACATATAAACAGCATGACTCCAGTCCATCGATGAATGTCTTATAAAGCGAACAGCTGCGTGTTTGTAAGAAACAAATCCATAATTAAGGTGTTATAACTTTAAATAATCATAATAACACTTCCTCCAGAAAGTAAATGTCCTTCCCCTGATGTCCTCTCTCATCCACTGACATATTTGAATGTTTAATGATGATTTTTTGTTTTTTATTTTTTATTACAAACATGCTTTTCACTTCACAACACACTGATTGATCGAGCCATTGGTGAGCAAGTGATATAATGCTAAATTTCTCCAAATATGTTCTGATAATGAAACAAACTCATCTAGATCTTGGATGGCCTGAGGGTGAGTATTTTCAGCTAATTTTAATTTTGGGGTGAACTGTTCCTTTAAGAATAGGATCATTTTACATTGTAAGAGTGGGGGGAAACATCTTATAAAGACAGCACTGTACACCATCAGATGCTCCCCTGATGAGCGTATGGATGGTATCTAATCACTGGACCCTGTTTTGAGAAATGAGACACGCTGGTGCTCAACAGGACTGTGATGTCTGGGCAAATACACCAGCTCAGACTGTCTCTCCCAGTTTTCCAGAGTGTGTGGGAATGCAGGTATATGCGAACGATCACAGATGTGGCCGCTGATACGCCTTGACAGTGTTTTGGCAGAACAGTTCTGCCATGAGCAAACACATTGAGCTTCAAATGCGGGGGTCTTTGTGCTCTCCGCAGGGCCGTTCTTCGCTTTTTGTGTTAGCTAGTGCTACAGGCTGTTCAGGCCTGTCTAGTTGTGCTCTCATCAGCAGATCAAGCTCATGCTATCTGTCCAGATTCTTTCAGTCCTGTCTCTGTTTTTCCCATCCGTCTCAGGCCTCTAGTTGATTCACAAAACTCTCGCCCACCGGTCCCAGCTTTGCCAGCACGAGCGGCCCAATAGCCAGAGGCCCAGCGGCCCAGCGGTATTTCCATCCTCTTTGGTGAGGTATGACACATGTTTTTACATACTGCATGAGAAAGTGCTCGGCTCAGTGTGGGAAACACACATTCCACACCCTGTTGTTGACCTGCATGAACACACACACACACACACACACACACACACACACGTCTCAGCACTGACTTCAGCCAAAGGAAGAGGAAGTCTGACCTGCTCAGCTGACAAGGTCAAACACACACACACACACAAATTTATGTGCTGGGAACACAGATGTAAAAGCTCTGGACACAAACTGGCCAAGTGTTCAGAGTGGAATATGATACACAACGCTTGAGAGGATTGAGACCACAGACATCACAAGGAGTTTGGAGACAATGGATTTCTGAAAGTGGTAAATAAATAAACAAACAAACATTGTTCTCTGAGTGGCCAAATATATACAAAAAACTTTTATTTTATAATAAAGAATGATATTAAAAAGTCTTTAAGATGTTTTGAATGCTCATTTGATCAAAAATACAGTAATATTGTGAAATATTATCACAATTTAAAATAACTGTTTTCTATTTTAATATATTTTAAAATTACATTTATTCCTGTGATGGCAAAGCTGAGTTTTCAGCATCATTACTCCAGTCTTCAGTGTCACATGATCCTTCAGAAATCATTCTAATATGCTGATTTGCTGCTCAAGAAACATTTCTTATTATTATCAATGTTGAAAACAGCTGTGCTGCTTATGTAGCACATTATTTCGTGTTTGGAGCAGAATGAAGGGAGCAAAATTGCAGGATTTTTTTTTTAAAGATCAAAAGAACAAATAAAATTACAAAATGTGCACAGATCTTTTTAATTCAAGAGTTCAGTATAGGATTACATGCTCAATAATATCAACTTTAAAAAAAAATCGAATCTGTTCTTCTAATAACTGCAGATATATGCTCATATTCAAGTTCCTGCATAGTTAATACATTTGGTGAGAGGTAATGCATATACATCAAGCTTGGAGTCCATTAAAAGGTTTTTTCAAGTGATAATTAGTATCAAAAACAACACGTGTTATTAAGTCAAGTGTACATTATGCAACACGTGGGACATTTCAGTGATTGACTCTGTCTGAAAATGAATCAGTTACTTGTTCATGCTGTGTACAAAACTGGCTACATGATGTTAGAGTGTTGTGGCTGGTTACCAAAAAGTTGCTATGCAGTTGCTAGGGTGTTCTGGATAGTTGCCAAGTCATCCAGTCATAAGAGCCTACCTCCAATTCTGTCTGATGTTCTTGTCTATTGATGCACATCTATGGGATTTTGGTGCCCATTTTCATGTCAATCAGGTGAAACTCTTGATCAAGTCACTAAGCACATCTCTCTGCATGACAAATATGGAAGTAGTTAAATGCAAGAATGTTGGTCAAATCCCTAAAACTAAGTCAGCAACAGCAGGCAAATAGTTGTGCATGCTAGCAAGCAACAGTTTTATTCTGCAATGGAGCCAAAAAAAATGTAATTGGGACTTTTTAGCTCACAATTCTGATTTTTTTTCCCCCTTGCAATTATGAATTTTTCTTGCAATTGCGATTTCTGATTTTGTTTTTTCAATTTAAGCAGAGCGTTAAAGTGCTCAGTCTCGTCATGATTTTGGCCACTGAAGGCAGGCAGATGGACTCTAAATGACTGTAGGTGATGATGATGCACTGAGATGAATCTCACCCTCAGCAATACTGGAAATGAACAATTGGCCAAGACGCTTTCATATTTTCCCTTCTGTGACAGTATATCAGTACGCCACTTATAATCTACAGCAAAAGGTGTCAACAGATCATTTCAGAAGTGTTTTAATAGCGCCTTTCAAAAGCTCCAGTAAGAACAAAAGCTTTGTGGCACAGAGGGGTGTCGTTATGTAAAGAACAATGATGAATTAAACAATGAATCAAAAGTGAATTAAATAGTGACGGCCTCAGACAGCGCAGTGTGCATTAGAATGAGGTCATTTCTGGCAGAGGCACTAATTCAGATGTGTTCAGTTGTGTGATGGGCGGAGAGAAGATTTCAGTTTCCCACACGTACAGAACTTCTCTATTCCTCACCGACTCACGATGTGCATTAACTAGCAGCTGGACTTTAATTAGACCCATCGGACAGATGGATGCAGGTAAATTCATTAATATAGGCTGAAATGTGCCTTTACTGTGCATGTAATGCAATTATAACTTACATCAACGCTTAATCGCATATGTAAGAATGACAGAGGCTGCTGCAATGACTGTAAACATTTAAAGGAACAGTACACCCAAAAATGAACTACATTGAAAGACCCTGGTCACTATATGCATTCATGATATGGAAAAAGACAGGATTAACATTATTCCTTATGAAAAAGAAGTACACTTTAGCATACTTTAATTTAAGAAATAAAGGTAAGAAATAAATAATTATTTCATTACCATCTGTTTTCGAATCCACATCATTTGAATATCACACCATTGATATCTGTCAAAAAATAACATACGCAATACGTGGTAGTATTTATGAAAAGCAGAGGTCAATGGAGTACAAACCTTTAGAAAACCCACACAAAGGGATGTTTGAATGCATCATCGCTTTCCAAGAACAAGGAGAAAATGGCGTGTGAGGATATAAATAGCTAAAATTGACAGGTGATTTTGTTTGATCACCATTTTCCTAGTTGTTTAAAAGATTTAGGCAATTATCATTGTTTGATAAAATGTTTCATTTTCATGATTTTTACATGATGTGTTACATTTACTTAACCTTTTGCAGCTTTTAAACCATATACTAAGTATATACTTGTTATTGCTACTACGAATTTACTTAAGTGTGAACTGAATGTAATGTTTTTCAGACATGCATTAATATTATATTTTCTGCAAGTAGGTTTTTAATATATCAATTTAAGATTTGAAGTACAGTACAAGCGCACATTCAATACAGTTAAGTAACACAAGGATCAAAACATCTCTTTTTATGTTGCATATTAGATGGAAAGTCATACAGAATTGAATGCGTGAAAGTGAAATGAACGTTTTATTTTTGGAAACTATTCCTTTAAAAGAAATGACTGTTTATGAGATAATATACAGAGAGAGAGAGATTGTTGTAAAAGGCAATGCTGAAAACTATTTTTTAATTTATCCGCTCTGAATGTCATTAAATCAGCAACTTTTAGTTTTAGTTTGAGTGACAGACTCTTCTCATTTCATTATTTTGCACATAAATTGGAAAAGCTTTCATATTCATTTGCCAAAATAGACAAACCTTTTTATAAACACATCTGGAAGGCTTCCGGGCAGAAAGAGTGCATATGCAAGCATGCGGAGGAGAGTTTGGCAGCAGGCCCTGATGCCTCCAACTGACCTCATTCATCAGCACAACCTAAAGACTGATCAGCGCAGGCAGGCAGCCAAATGCATTAGTGATGTCATAGTGGTATTACGCATCATTGCTGCAGGGAACCAATGAGGCACAGGCGTGAGAGGAATGAGATCATGATCAGGGATAATATATGATCAGCTCTCTCCTTCTTCCATACCGTGCTCTTTGACACCGAATGTGGTGGGTGATGCATATCAAGCAGCTGTGGAATCATTCCTCCACGTATGGCTCCACCTGATGTGCCTAATGATGCAGGACTGCTAAATTGGCCCTAATGCAATAAAAAGTATGGGGATTATTATTATTCATGGCATCTTTAGGCAATATGGGAGTAAAAAAAACGGTGATTTGCTTTGCTTGGCAAAGTCGTTTTCTTCAATATTTGAAGAAATTATGCATACTGTGCATAGTATGCATTTTATTTTCTTAATGCATAAAAATACTTAGATGACCTACTACAATTGCCAATCTGTGCAGTATACAACAGAGCAAACAATATCCCACAATGCACTCATATCACATTTTTAGTGTGACAAACTAAACAGAAGTAGTTTGCATGGTCTTTAACATGTCCTTTATATCAATCATTTACATTATTATTAATATTATATACCGTATCATACTAAATATAGTAAAAATAAATATATTTAAATATGTATATATATCAAATGTTTGATGTCAGTATAATTTTTTGAAATAAATGAAATACTTTTACCTTGGATACATTAAATTGTTACCAAAAATAAATTACAAATATTTTTTTTCAACTTTCTATTAATCAAAGAAATGTGAAATAAAAGTTTCCACAAAGTTATTAAGAAGCACAACTGTTTTCAATATTGATAACAATAAGAAATATTTCTTGATCAGCACATCAGCATATTAAAATGATTGAATTTTAATATTAAAATTAAATAAAGCATCATGTGATAATAAAGACTGGAGTAATGACTGATGAAAATTCAGCTTTGCCATCACAGGAAAAAAATTCATTTTAAAATATACTAAGATAGAAAAAAGTTATTTTAAATTGTAATATTTCACAAAATTACTGTTTTTACTGTATTTCTAATCAAATAAATACAGCCTTGGCGAGCATTAACATTAAAAAAAATCTTACTGACTTTTATATATGTTAATTTAATTATGACAATATTATTTAAAATAAATAAATACAAACATTATTTATATAAATGTACACTTGTATTCTTACATTGTATCCTTAAAAAATGCAATGAAAAAGATGACTAAACAATTAAATGTATAGTTGTATCCTTTTTTTGCATCTAGCATGCAATATATACTGCAAAGTAATAAGCAGCAATCTAGTATTCCATTTAAAACAGCTTCTGTTTTTAAAAGAGCACCCACAGAGACATATAGCAGATGCTCTCTTTTCATCTTTGGGGCCCCATATTCAGCCCTTGGCACCTGGGGGTGTCAGGATGGAGGGGGAGAGTGAGAAAAAGCAAGCAGGAGGAGGGGTGAATGTATTGTGAAAAAGGGTGATGGTTGTGAGGGTTGGACATATTTTGATGATAATGTGGCACACTTCTTGTATGAAGCGATCCCAGTCTTAGATCTGCACAAAAGGGCCCTGAACCCCACTGGTCCATGTCTATCAGACCATTTGTAGGCAGAGGGTGGGTCACAAGCTGGCTGGTCCAGGGCCCAAAGTCACGGAGCCCCACCACTCTGCCGTATGGGCCTCCACGTGTCTCTCTGCATGCGGTTTGCGTCATTGCTTTTGTTACTGGCTCCCCCGTGTATAATTTGTGCAGCCATTATCCAGCATCTATAGATTTTGGTAATTCTGGCACATGAAACAATCATGTTTAAAATTTGCTGACAAATAAACAGGTTTT